AGCGGGGGGGAGGGGGCGTGTTGCTGTTCCCATGCAGTGGAGGGGAGGGAGGGGGTAACTTGCCCAGGGTCATGCAGTGAGTCGGTGGCAGGAATGGAACCCAATGCTCTTGATTCCTAGTTCAGTGCCCTACCCACCCAACTCCTTTCTAAGCTTATGCTGTTTGCTCAGCCAGTGATACCCTGCATTGAATTCTGCTATCATCCCCATGGGCCAGCATCCCCAAGGCACAGTCAGTGAACCCCACAGAGACCAGCCAGGCTAGGAGCTTCCTCTCAAGTGATGCTGCAGTAGAGTCTTGCAGAACGCCCCATGCACTCCTAGGACAGGCCATTGCCGGGGGGCTCCTACGTGCTGAGTAGGCAGAGGCCAGGAGCAGCGCAGAGGGAATTCACTCCATGTCCAGAAACCCCCACTGAGCAGCTTTGGCCAGAAGGACTATGGGACATTCAGGAGAGGCGTCCAGTGGAACAGTGCAAGCCACGGCCTGGCTAGGAGCACCTGAGTACTAATCCCATCTCTAATACTACCTCCTCCTGTAGGGCACTGGGCAAGTCACGGCCCCTCTCCCTGCCTCAGTTTCCCCAAGCAGATAACCATTCTGCCCTGCTCGCTGCAGAGGCTGGGATGCTTCGTAGTATTCAGCTGAGAGAAAGCGATCATGACCTGCCAACAGTTACCGTTCGATAGCCTGGAGACCGTGAAATCCATGGCGAAACTGATCAGCGCCATTATCACCCCCAGGAAAAAGAGGAAGTACCAGTCATCACCGACACGGAACAGCTGGCGCTTCACACACTCCAGGCAGCCTGCAGGGGGCACCAGTGGGACAAGGTGAGTCAGACACACTCCGCTGGGGCCAGGTAAATCACACGTTACAAGGAGGGTCAGCTAAACCCCACAGGGCATGAGTTCGATTGTTGCATGGCTAACCACGTAAAAACACTGGCCCCAGATCAGGGCTCAGGCACCAGGAGAATTTCCTCCTGCCTGGGCTCCCAGGGAAGGATTTTGGGGTTGCTCTTTTCAGCCCCCTTGTAGACAGAGGTCGCACATCCCTTACAGGAGGAAAGTGAGCGGAGCCGGTCAGTAGCGCAGGGTCTGGCACTGAAGCAGAGACTGATTGATTGTTCTGCACTCGGAGGAACAGGTTCCCGGAGGATGGGAGAAGCACAAAGACACTTTTCAACCAGCTCGGTTTATTAACCAGGAAACAAAGTTCCCCTGGGGGGGCAGCTTCATTAAGACTGAAACAGTCCATGAGTTCATTCCGAGATTCATTTTCAGACCAGCTACTGCCAGCGAGACCCACCCAGCAGCTGGGTTTTGTTCTTCCGCAGCTCTCTATGCAGGCAAATGCCAGGGGAAAGGCAGTACAGACCAAAGGGGCACCTTAGACACACCGGCTGGATGTTATTAAATACAGCTGACCTGCAGCCGTGGTGGATCAAACCCGGTGCAGTGATTCGGGGGCAGCCATTTGAAATCTAAGCCCAACGGCTTCGCTGGAGGAGCAGCCATGGAATAAGACAGACAGCGAGCGCAGGGAGACGCGCACAAGCCCCTCGACAAGTACGGAGCGTGGAGCAGGGGTTATTAGATCAAGGGTAGCAGAGAAAAGGCCGCCGGCCTGCTGGGGCCTGGCTTTAGTAACAACGACACGCCGTAGAGTGGAGGGGTTTAGGAACTGCAAGGCTCCAGCTGGGAAGGTGCCTGTGGTCCCACCCCAAAGGGGTATAGGTGTCCTACTTGAGGGCCTCCTGGCAGAGGAGAATGCTGCTTACGCGCCATCTGGACTAGCTGACCCAGGAGGCCTTCGATAGCTCTGCCACCCGTACTGGAGTAGGAGCATTTCCATCCATCTCGGCTCTTACCTCGGATTGTCCTGCGTGTTCTGGGCCAGGGCCTCCAGCTTTCTTCTAGCACTAGAATCCTCTCCGCCTCCTCCTGAGCAGCTTGGGGCTCCCTCCGCACCTTCCAGGACCCTGCCGTCGCCATGGGCCGGCGATGCCTCCGGGCCAGGAGTGGCAGGTCACTGCTGGTCCCTGTGCAAAGGGGAGCAGCTTGCTGGTAAGAGGCGGTTCCGGGCTGCCTCGCCGTAGGGGGTTCTGGGCTACAGAGAGGCCCGTGTTACAAAGGATGGAGCTAACCAGGGACCATTTCACTAGCAGTGACCATACAGCTTTGGCAAACGACAGACTGCATGTGTGGTGGGGACGCCTACCTCCCACCAGCTGCTGCTTCCCGAACAACCCAGCCGTGGGGTACTGCTTTGCTGGGTCAGAAACAGCCTCCCTATGGACCCTGGGCTGGCATTTGATGTTACATGGCTGCAAATCCCTTCACTTCAATGGACTAATTCTACACTTATATGGGTGCCACTGAGCCCTGGTCGCTCCCCTCCCCTCCCTGCTCCCCAAGTTCGCCTAGTCCCCTCTCCCCTCCGCCATCTGTCTTGTCTCTGTTGTGGTGAAAGCTTCTCCTCTGCCCCTCCCAGACTCCAAAACAGACTCCCTGTATGGCTGCCAACTCATGGATTCACCCTCTCCTTTCGGATCATGCCTGAAGATGGCTTTGGCCCTGCCTGGAGCTCTTGAGACAAAGTCAGTGGGACTTTGGTCCTCCTTGGGGTGGCCTAATGCCCAGGGCTGAGTTTCTGGTACAGAATCTCGCAGGAGAGTGAGGGGTTATTCAGTTTATAGGAAAGATCCTGCACCAGGTAAAGCCACATTGTGCTAATAATAGTGGATGTTTGGCATCCAGCTGGAGTGAGCGGGTGATTAATGTGTTGACTGAGCGGGTGACCTTGAGTTGCTAATGGAGTGAGACCCAACAACAAGGAATAAATGCTCCCCCCACGCACCAGGCCTGTGAGGCCTCAGGGCATCCACGTGTTGTTCACGGGAGGCCAAGAAGGTCGAGTGTAGGACAGGAGGTTATCAGACAACTCACGCTCAGCTCAGAGCTAGGTTTGGATCCCAGGAGAGGCCCTGTGGCAAAGGGACACGGTTCCCTCCAGGCATCCCACCCCTGGCTCAGCTGCACGGACCACCTGGGGATGGAGGTTGGAGCCAAACCTCTACCCCTTTCCTGCCCACTGTCCCAGGAAGCGGGTAAGCAGGGGCATCAAAACAATAAGCGTTGCTGATGTGTCCGGAGGAGGGGCTCTTCCCTCTGAGCCAGCCGGGTAGCCCTGCCATGCTGCTGGAGGCGATATCGCTTACCCCAGCAGGTTCGGGTAGCCTGCCCAAGGGGGGGGGTCTATGGTCTCAACCCAGCTCTAAGATCAAATGAAACCAAAAGGCATTTAGGGCTGGATCCTGCCCATCCCCCACTCACACAGAGCCCCCCGTGAAATTAACACGATGTAAGGTCATGCTAAATGTGAGCAGGGCTGGCCGAACCCAGCCCTTAATGAACCTTATGACGAGGACAGAAGTACCTGGCTAGAAACCATCCTGTTTCGGGTTGCGTTCAAGGAGGGCCTGGCTCTTGTATCAGCCAAACTGGGGTCACCTAATTCAGACCACTCGAGCCATCCCTGAGGATTCAGCCCCTGGAGTTTCACAGCACCGAATCCGCACCTGCAAGGACTTGCACCAACAAGGCTGCACTAACAAACAGTGAAAGTCTCGGCACGGGGGGGGGGGGGGGGAAGGAGAATGTACAGCGTGTGCCACGGTGCAGCCCAGCAGCCAGGCCCTTCACCACTGCAGGGCCCCCTTCTTGAAAGCAGGGGCAGGCGGCTGCAGGAGTGGGCTAGGAGAGCCAGTAATGAGGAGGAAAGGGGGGTTCATGGCTAGCAGGGTGGTTGGTTTGGGGCTCTGATGAGCATGGGAAAGGGGATCAGAGGGGGGATGGGAGGGAGAAGAAAGGATTCTAGCTAGAGCTGATAGAAAAAACATTTTGATGGAACGGGTTCGGGCTCAATTGACTTTGTGACCCAATGGGAATTTTTCAGCAAAAGCTTCTGTGGTCATCAAAAACTTTCACCAAAAAACGGACATCTGATTTTTTTGTTGGTTTGTTTCCTGCAACCAAAAAACATAAAAATTTCAGGGTTTGGAGTTGCTGAAAACTGACCGTTTTTTTCAGGTTTCAGTTTCTACGCGGAAATTTATTTTGACAGAAAAAAGTGAAACATTTTGCAGCTTTGTTGAAATTTTTCGTGGGGAAGAAACATCTTTTCCCAACCAGCTGTGATCACAAGCCTTGTGGCAGGGGATCTCACGGGGCCAGGCCACATGGAGAGTCTAAGAGAGTCCAACGTGGGGAAGTTAATGTCTACCAGCCCTTTCACCATGTAAGTTCCACCGGCGCATACTCCTCTCCGAACCTGGCCCTCTCCCCCCAAGCTTTTCCATGCTGGTCTGGACCTCTGCACTTTTCATGATTTGCCCACTGCTCATTCGCACCCTAAAGATGAGTCTTTCTTGGATGGGCAGGGGCAAGGAACCAGCAGACAGCACCCAAGACAGATGATACCTGTCCAAACAGGGAGCCCTACAGGTGCCTGCTTTCAGTACTGCTGTCTTCTCCAAGTCAGTCCTGCATTGGAGTTGGGGGGGACCAGCTGGTGGCCCTTGGAGATGCAGGAATGGGATTCTGTCCTCGGAACTCAAAACAGCTTCCCTGCATTCTGCCGTGAGCATTTCCGTGCACTCCCGTGTAACAGCACTTTCTGATTCAGCAGATGTTCAGAGGCCTAGATTCAGCACTGGTATGGGCTGGGCTCCTTTCTGGGCAGGACAGGGGCAAAAGTGGCTGTCTGCCAGCTTTGTTGGCCCAGATTCTGGGCACAGCCATGACCCAGTTTGTTGTAAGTTTTTGCTGCTTTATTATTGGGCACCTATGTTAACACCCCTGAAATTCATGGGGCAATTTGCCCCTCTAAGGGCTATTGCTTCAGGCTCTCTGCAAACTCAGACATCACTGCATTGATAATACTCACTTCACCTTTCAAGGTTTTCTTCACATCCAGGACAGCTAGAGACTTACTGTTTTTTTGTTTTAATGAAAGCGGAGATCCTCGCATAGAAGACAGCACCATCAAAACCAGAGCTGGGTTGCTGACTAGGCACAATCTGGCCCCATTCAAGCTGGGGAGAATTCCCAGGTAACGGGTTATGCCATTTTTCCAGCTGCTTCGTGCCACCCACTGGAGTGGAGCCCCCAGGCCTGGGCCAGAATCCAGCCCAAAGAATCTCTGACTTGCATTGATCACTAACATGCTGATGAGCAGATGTCCTCATACTCAGGGTGGTGAGCCCATCCCACCGCTCCCACCACTATTTCTACGTTTTACCGCGCTAGCTCGATCAGACCTAGCATGGGCATGTGTCTGGCAGCTGGGCATCTCACCCCAGCTCCAGGGTAGATGCAAGGGCGCCAATTCGAGGGGGCAGGGGAGGGCAGAAGCCCCCTGAGTTTCATATAAGAGGTGTGCAAGCTCCCAGGTGGAGCTCTTGACTACAGCCCAGCATTAGTGGAGAGGAGAGGTGCCCCTGGGACAGGGAGCCAGGATTTTGTTTACAAACAGAGGCCGGGTGATTAAGATCAGAAAGGGCTGGTGATTAAATGAAGGGTATGGAAGTGGAGGGGGGAGAGGGAGGAGGGTTGTGTTAGAGAGAACACGGGCCGGGGGCTCAGAAAAAAACACAGCAAAGCACTGAGCCCAGGTTACATTCAGAAAAGGGGGAGATTTGGGGGCATCGGTGAAAAGAAGGGGTCAGACCCAGGGCAGGGCTAGCAGCGTATAGAGAGGTTCCCACTCTACCTGTGGTACTTATGTGGCCTCATCACTATAGTATCTGAGGCTGCACCTCACACTGTCTAACCTATTTGTCCTCCCAGCCCCTCGGTGAGGTCGAGCCGGGCTGTTCTCCCCATTGTACAGGTGGGGCACTGAGGTGCACACAGACTAAAGGCCAGATTTTCAAAGGTATTTAGGCACCTCGTGAGATTTTCAAATGCACTTAGAAGGTTTGGTGCTTTGTAAACCCCACTAGATATCGAGCTGCATCTTTGGGTGCCTAAAAGCCTTTGAAAGTCTGTCCTTAAAGCACTGGCCTGGGGTCAGAGAGGAAGTCCATGGCGGGAGTAGAACCCAGGTCTCTCAGGGCCAGCTCCCTGTACAGCAGACCAGCCTCTCTCTCTGCTACATGCTGCAAAACAAGACGACTCTGATAGATGGGAGCAAACCAAGGCGGCCCTGAGCTCCCAGCCGAGGAAACTAGCCCCCAGCCCCTTCCCCGCTGTCCCCCCTCCACCACAGCCTC